CCGTGCGACTTTTTTCTGTTCCCGAAACTCAAATTAACCCTTCGTGGTAAGCGTTTTGAGTCGATTGAATCGGTAAAAGAGAATTCGCTGAAGGAACTAAAAGCCATACCTGCACGGGCCTACGAAATATGTGTGGAAGAATGGGTTAAGCGTTGGCATATGTGTATCGCTTCAGAAGGAGCATATTTTGAAGGAGATAAAATAAATTTGGGTTCAAATTTAAATTTGTGTATTTTATTTACAAAATCCGGGTACTTTTTGAGCTGGAGTTACTTCATTAAGAAAGGTTACTGAACAACAATAAATTCTATATTAAAAAATAGCTGATAATGACTTTACAAACTATTTTCTTGTTATGTGACTAATCTACTTCAGTAAAATAGACTATATAATGTCTCTAATCTTCTATAATAATATAATATGTAAATTTCTACATCTTTTTATAATATATATATGAAATATAGCAATGCATATATTCCTACTTCACTAAAATAGACTATATAATATCCTATAGTATGTAAATTTCTGAATCTTATTATAATATATATGATATATAGAAATGCATACATTCTATGATAGGATATTACAGAATACATTGCACTACTGCAAACCTCTTAATATAAAAGTAATCTTTGTTATATTAAATAAAAAAAAGGTTGTGTAGATTGCAAACGAACTAATTTATTAAGGTTTTTTATTTAGAAAAATTAATGAACTTTATCTCATTCAGTTCAGTAGTTCATTCTACTTTAAACGTCAGAATTAGTTTTGTGTAATAGATACTGCTTTTATTACTAATTTTTCTAGAAAAATATTTACAGAAAAATACAAAAATAATAAATGATGAAAGTAAATCCTCTCATAAATCCTCTTATATTTTTACTTTGCATTTTCGAAGTGAACTATTGAACTAAAACATCACTTTCATATTTGACACAATAATGAACTAGTTCATTAAAATATAGCTTAACTCCATAACTAATATAAATTGATTCAATAAATATTAAAAGTGAACTAAAATCCAGAGTATACGTAAAGTCCGAATAGTTTATCTGTTTTATGACAAGCTTATTTGATTTATACTCCGTCTAAACTTTGAAAAACTCCAAAAGGGGTTGTGATATACTTTTTAAAACCCATAACCAGTAAAAGTTTGATTCATATTTATATAAGCAAATTGCATAGTTAAAGATAGTGAACTTAAAGCTGTACTGAATAATAACATTTTTATTAGCATTTTTAGAACCTGCTTAGAAACGCTTGGATATACTATATCTATATCAATATCTTGCATTCATATCATAGTGACATAAGAATATTTAAAATTGTAAATTTAAAATTGTTTTTCTGATAATTATAATGTAATAACAATAATTACTAAGAAACAGCAATTCTAGTGTAACTATAGATTAACTATTAGAGTATACTATTCAGCAATATTGAAATAATATTCAATTACTTTTAAGCTGAAAATTGCTGTATACTAAATTACGTATAATTTAACTTGAAAGCTTAGAAAATTGAAACTTTAGATATTGTATTGTCAACAATAAAATAGTAATAATAGAAAAGCAGTCACATAAATAAAATTCTATTATTATTGTTAGGAGATCTGGCACTGCGAGCGTCGGGTCTATTCTGGGCTTAGAGTAGGTCTTTAAGCCCTGTTGCGTCAATAAAAAGTAGTATAGAACCTACTTTACAGAGTTTTATTACCTCTTCCGTAAGAATATACATTCCTAGCAACCTATTTCGTATGTGCATTAGCGCAGGACATTCTAATAGCACATGTATGACCGACTCTTCATTCTCTTCACAGAATCTGCAGTTTGCATCCTAAGTACACCCAGTTTTGTTAGGTGGTGTTTTAGTCTGCAGTGTCGTGTTAGGATTCCTGTGATGATTCTAAGTTTTTCTTTTGATAGGATCACACAATCCTGGTATCTCTTGTTGTTAAAGCTACCAATAAGTGATTTGGATTGTTTTAATCCTGGTATATTATCCCAGTAATCTTTTTTATTCTGGAGCGTGCTATTTTCTAGTCCACAAAAAGGTTCCGGCTTCATTATCGCTTGTCCGCGTATTCCTTTTCGCGTACGCCAGTATGTCCCGGTACCCAAAGAATCGACACCTGATTTTTTTCGCCAAGCAGATTTAGCTTATCAAGGCAGTCTAACACCAGTCTTGAGGTCAGCTTATACGAGTTCAGTGCCTTGATCGCCGCTAGACTGTCTGTCAGTATTGCAATGTTTTTATCCTAGTAATTCCGTTCAATATTGATGAGTACGCATTTTAAAATTGCGTAAAATTTTTAAAATTTTTGCTTGAAAGATGCTAGTATTTTTTCCCAGCGCTTCCCAGTGCTTCTTGCTATGCCCGCTCCGGCACCTTCCTCTGTAAGCGAGCCGTCAATAAACCATGCGATTGTGCTATTTGTTAGAATTCTAAAAAACTATAAAAATTTGATATCATCTTAAAATAGGCAGATATATGTAACTTTTGCTTATGAAGAAGCATGCAGGGTGACAACTAAATGGCACAGATCTTTTTAGAAACGCTTCTTCCTATTTCTGGGGTTAATAATTTGTTTTTGTATCTTAACCGAGTATTACACATGAGAATTTTTTTTCAAATTTTCTTGACAAAAACTTTTTAAATACATCCCAACAAAAAAAAAACAACAAATATACTACAAAATAAAATTATGTATGAATTTAAACGATATTTTCGCTTCCATCCCTTACAATGAATGAAATTTTGTATGTTCATCGAAAAAAAAACTCGGCTGTATACGAAAAAACACGAGTAAGTTTGAAAATACAAATTTTTTTGATTTCCATCAAACTTTTTTGTCAAACTTCAGATGAAAAGTTTGACAAATCTGTATGTAATAGTTTTCAACTAGGCTTCACCGAATATTTTTTAGAATGAAACACAATTTTCTCGTATAGCAAAACCTATTCGTATAGCAATCAGTAACTCTCTTCGCAAAACGTCGTCTATTTGTGTCAGCTATACCATCAAAATCGAAGACTCCAAAGATGCTTCACATAGTCATAGATTGTCATCTACTAGTAAATATTTTCTAACTGATCACAAAAATCTACACCTGGATTGAATATTTGGATATCACACTTGTGTTGAAAAATGTCTGGAATTTATTTTCAGGATATAAGTAGGCAATATCTTTCACCAGGTTAAGTGGTAGTATCATAAAAATGGAGTCTGGCTTTCTAGCACGTGTTTCATATAGTTGAAGCACCTAAAATAAGGTTTCTTACTGCTTTAGGGCAGTTTCTCCACCATGTTGTTGTTGTTATTGTTTTAATCCGCCGGGATCTGAAAGCAGATAACATGAAAGGATTACGAGACGAATACATGGGTAAGGAAATGGATAAGAGGGGTTGTGGTATTGGGATGAAGGAAGGGAAAAAGGTGGTATAATTTGAAATTAATCAGGATCCAGCCGAAGAAACCTAGAAACCTAGTCTACGTCCCGGAGCCACTCGTCGAAGACGACCAAGCGCCGTTCAACCATCCCCCAAAGTTTCTCCATCATAACTTTTATGAATCCAATGTTTGCCGTTCTTTGCGCTTGCACGAGCTGTATAATATTGTCTTGCTATGCACCACATTTTTTTGTGGGTGTAATAAGCTATACTTGCTTTTTCACCAGTTTTTTACTCTCGCCTACCAATTGTGTTTTAAGTCTAATATAACACTTAGATATATTGCTTAAAAGAAGAGTTTGAATATTTGACTATCCAGTCTTGGTAACTCAAAGAATATTATTACAAATAATAAATAACTGAGTCATTAGTTTGATACTGTGATTTTTGTGTATAAATACAGCGTCTAGTGATTACAAGATAGCCTAAATCAAGACGTTACAGTGGTCGTTGCTTATACAAACCTGACCTTACTTGTATTGTGTCTCCGTCACGCTGCAGTCTTGATGTTTCTAAAACTGGGCATAACAGTTTTTATACTCTTCCATATTTTAATACATATTTTTTCACTCCCTATACTATTCTATTTTAACAACATATCGTTCCTTTAACTTCATCTTTACACTCTCTTTCAACGTTTTTGTAGAAGTTGCAAAGCTGCTAAATATTGATCCAGTAAGAGTCACTACTTTGACGTCATTTATTATGAATTCAAAATACTTTTAGATTTATTGATCTACTTGAATATCAAAGGATTTTTGGATTACTGGCTGAAATTTTATTCAGATTTTTAATACCAAATATACAATTTTTGTAAAAATGCTATAGAAAAATTCGTAACGTGAAGTTACGGAATTTCCAAAGCAAAGTAGAAATTTTTTAAGACAAACTAACAAAAATTTCTGTTACAAAATGTTTGATTAGCATTTAGAAATTGTGGTGAAGTGATTGTAAAAAAGTTTTGTTTTTATTTTATTTATTAACAGAAACCCACACAAATTTGAACGACAAACGACTTCGTGCAAAATTCAAATTTGTGAACTTGAACTTGGCAGAGCCGCTCATTGTGTAAATAGAAACGTATACTTAATGAAATTAACAAACAAAAACGCCATTATACTTGTTATGTAAATACGATATTCTATTCTGTAGTAGTTCTCAACATCTCGAACATTAGAAAATGCTATGAAGCCATTTCCATATTACAACATAAAGAACTTAGGCTCCTTTCTCGACGCTTGTTTACTTATGATGTGCCTCACTTGAATCTGTTGTCAAGGTAAACAAATGAATATTCAAATCAAATTGTTCGTCAATCGTCAATCACTATCTTATAATTAACAAATCGATTTGAACATTGGAAATCAATTAATTTACATACTTAAGTTTCTCAACTCAGCGCGCTTATATTTATAATAAATATCTCCCATGTATTTCTATAGAGCAAGTGGCTTTGTGTTTTCGGAGTCAATCAAATCAAATCTCAAGAAATTGCTGAATGTTCGTAGATACAATTCAACAAAATAAAATAATTATAATTAAGCAACGTACCAGCACAGTTAAAGTTGTTAGTCCATCGCGTTTTACATAAATAGTGGTGGCCTGATTTTCTTCCGCCGCAATCTGAAATATAGAAGAGCAAATTAATAATAATTTAAAAGACATTATTAATTTATTTAATTAAATTTAACAACAACACAACTCTTTCTGTAAAAATGTATATAATTTTATCAATAAGTTTTTTAATTTTTACTAGGTGTATTAACAATTAATTATTGTAAATAATTTTAGTTATAATTTTTCCATCGATACTAATCAAAAAGATATTAAAGATTAAAGAAGATTCTTATATATTCTCGCAGATTATTAATTTATAGATATTTACATAAATAATTTACTACATCAACTTTGTAAAGAGTTAAGAAGCTATAGAAATATGTGATTTACATTAAAGCATTTATTAATATTACTGGAAGGAACCTATAGCATCGATTATGCTTTCTCCGGAGAAAGGTTTTCAAACTTAAACGAAAAAATATTGCAACTATTAATAAATTAAACTATAAAATAAAAGTCATGTGAAGAGATTAAACCCATTTTTCAACAAGCGCAAGTCACAACTATTATATAGTGGCTTTTCAACGTCCAACGATCTTTCAAAATTTTAACACCTTTTAAATAAAACGGTTTATCAAGTTTTCAGTTTCCCATTCCACTTCATCTCTTGATGTAAATCTTTTTCCCTAGAGTCATCTTTTCAAGTTTCGAAACAGATAATAGTCACTAGGTGCTAAATCTGGAGAATACGGTGGGTAGGGAAACAAATCGTACTGTTAGTCATTTTATTTAATTTAATTTGGTTTTCATTGACATGTGAGCGAGTGCATTATCTTGCAAAAACAAAATTTTTTTCTTCGATCGTCAATGGTCGTTTTTTTTCGATTTCCTCGTGTAATCGATCCCATAATATGCAATAGTAATCTAATTTTATTGTTTTTCATTATGAAAATTATTTTACTTGAATCTCAAAATACGGAAGCCAAAACTTTTCCAATCGGTTCTTGGTTCGTAGTCGTTTGGGAGCACTCCCGCCGGGCTCTACCCATTCTCTAGTTTGTTGTGTGCAGGAATGGATTCATGTTTTATGAATTGTCGAGTAGTGATAGTCAGCTAGATTGTACATAAACATTTCGAAACAATTTTTTGAATGACGAACTCATTGACGTTTTTGGTCATTATTATTAAGTAGTGGAATTTTGCACTGCAACAAACAGATCTATAGTGGCTCACGTACCTAGTAACATTAGACGGCAATATACCATAATAAAACATAGATTTTTACTCAGTATCATCGTTAATTTTCATACGTCTGTCTTTATAGATTACAGTTTGGTAGAAAAACATGCATATAAATTGAGCTAAATCCATTGGAATGTCACAGAAGTCATTATCGGTCTTAATTCAGATGTGGAGTTAATGCATAAAATTCTAGGAATTATCAGATCTGGGTACACCTAACCTCAGAAAATTTATCAGTTTTATTATTTCAAACGTGGAGCGTTACAGAATAAAGTGAATACATGTTTCGATATAAAAAAAATAATGCAATTGATGTCTTAAGGTTGAAACCCTTTTATAAAACATTTATAAACTTTAATGGACAAAAAATTTTATAATTGCGTATCCATCTAATTTCTTTTCAAAGAGTTTATGGAATTATGATTATCGAGAAAAACAAACATATTTTAAATTATAAATCTAAATAAAAATGTAGTTTATACTAAGCAATAAATTTAACCATTAATTAGCACCTATGCAGTGACGCTTCAGGAGACGTAGTCGATTACATTTACTAATAATAACAGTAGATAGTCAGTATGTAGTCCAAAGGTTAAGAGAATATTTTTTAAATCAATATTTTAAGCGTCTCTTTATTGTTTGTGGAAAGGCGCACAGTTGTTGTAGAGAAGTTGTTAATTAAATTAGATCTTTTGAAGAAAGTTCATTGATCCAATAAGTTAAGGTAGGCTACATTGTATGCAACTGCGATGCGAGAGTAAGTAAATTCTTACAATTTATGAAAACTATCGGATATGAGTAATTCCGTTTCAGTATTCGCGGTGGATGTGAACACGTAAAATAGTATTTGAAATCTAATTATACATTTAATATTAAAGAGATATTGTTGTTTAATTTATAAAGATAAATATTAATTAAAATATTTAAATATACCTTTCCCAACAGCTCAATTGGTGTGTCATCAACAGTTACATCAGTTAATAAGTCTCCTTCTTCTTGTATAATTGAGCGCAACTCATCTTCTGTGGTTTGGATCAACATATTTATTTTATTTTGTGTGATATCAATTTTATGGCTTTTCTTTTTTCTGGTAAGTTTTGTTTGATTTCTGTTGCGTTTTTCTCTTAACGATTTTCGAAATAAATTTATAGGCAACTTTTTGATAGATCTCTGTTTATGATAATCCGACAAATATTTATTTTCACCGTGGTATAGTTTTTCTTCATTTAGTATTTCCATTATTAAGAACTTTAATTAAATTTGCTTTTGAATAGTTTTTATTCAAACATATATTTAGATTTGAATTTAAAATAATACCCAAATATATTAGTAAACAATATTTTATTATTTTCCACCGGCTTGTCCTGTTTTGTTTATTATTAAAACTGACACTTCTATCAGCTGATTAGCAGAAATATAAGAGCGCCCTCTATGGACGACTAGCAAATTACAATAGTGAATTTTGTTTAATTCAAAAATATGATAATTTTATGAACATTTTATTTAAAAGTGTATATATTTTAGTAATAATATAGTATAATATAATATAGAAAAATGAAAATTTTACATATTTTATGAAATTAAAATTTTAATTAAATAAGGAAACCTGCGACAATTTATGAGGCAACCTGCGAAAATTTATCCCAGAAGATAAGATTCATGACAAAAACATCGTTCTATTTAAATAAAGACTTGCAGTAACACGTATGGCTACATTTCCATTTCCATGAACTCAATTGCAGACGGATAAACAAATAATTGCTTGCAAAACAGAAGAAGAAAGTGTTCCGAAAATCTGGGAGTCAATGTTCAGTTACTTCAATTCAAATGGGAAATGCTCAAGGCTTTAAATCTAATTTAACTGAGGAAGACCAGCAAAATCTTAGGAACAGTGAAGAATCCGAAGTTCATGACACACAGTATTTAAAAAACTGTTACTTACAATAAGTGGTTTGACATTTCCATCTATAAGTTTTTAAAAGTTTGCTGCCATCCATAAAAAAGTCAACGGACCTAAGTAAGAGATCTGCCTAATAGCGAAACAAGTAGCGCATCAAAAATTTTAAACAAAATATTTTGTACTCTCTGAAAATGTATCTCCTATAAAATGTAATAAATTAAAATAAAAAGCACAAAATTTCAAATAAAAAATATATTTATACATATAAATTTAAAATTATGAAATATTGTCATTTATAGTTTCAACTATAATTATAAAAAATGTTTATTTAAATATAAGCTCTATAATTTTTTTTATGTACACTGAAGATGGTCTACGAGATGTTTTTGAAATATAAATGAAAATTTTAACCATGATTTAGTAAGTGTTAGCTATCGATCATACGAACACATATATAAATATTCAATTTAATCAACATTAATTTGAAATCTTATATTAAAATGAAAATGCTTTAATAAACATTCACAAACATTTACAAAAACACATTCGATATAAAACTTAACCTATTGAGAATTGTAATTGATTAAAAAATAAATTATGTTACTCACAAATATGTGATACTATTTTATGCTATTTATTGGGTTCAAATTTTTAATAAGAATTTTTTAAATTATAATCAAGATAAATGTTAATCGTAATAATCCATATTACCTTAAAATTCAATGTTTATTTCGAGTGTGTAAAGAATCAACTTTGTTTAATAAGTGATATACGATGCAGTGCATTATTTTGCAACAAATGGATAGTTATGGTATACATATGTATATAATGACATAGTAAGTTAAATTTTAACAAACATAAATTTTTAATTAAATAAATCTTGGATTGATGATATACTATAGGCTATAGCTATTTCAGATATCGCCAAATGTCTATAATCAGTGGTTTTTGGAAATATTAATTTGTTATATACAATTATATTATACATTAATATATTTTCTTAATAATATTTAAAAAGTAAAATATTTATTTAACAATATATAAAAAATATTTTTAATTAATAATATATAGAAAAATATATTTTCATAAATAATATATAGAAACAAATATATATATTTATTTAATAATATATAAAAACAACGTATTTATTGAATACCATATAAAACAAATTTATTCACTTAATAATATATAAAAAGTTATATATTTTTTTAATAACATATGAAAACTAATACATTTATTTTATAACATATAAAAATAATACATATATTTCATAACATACAAAAAATAAATTATTTATTTATAATTTATAAACGATAATATATTTATTTGGTAATATAAAAAACAATGAATTTATTCATTATTATATAAAAATTAGTGTATTAATTTATTTAATAAAAATACTTCTGAGAAACTTAATTTAGAAATAAAAAGTAAAACTTTTTTGTCAATTCCTGTGGAACATTGATTTTATGGTGTCATGGTGCGTATGAGTGATATGTAAGGAGCCAGATAAATTAATTGTTTTAAATACTTCTAAAACCAATACCACACTCGAAATATTTATTTTTTAAGTAGAAATTGTTGGTTAATCTAAATCAAAAATAAAAAATAAAAATTTTTCTTATATGTTCCTCTTATTTTTTTTTACTAAAAATTATAGTAAAAAAATATTAATAAATAAAATATATTTTCTTGTGAATATCTTGGAAATCACTGAACTATCCTAGCAATAGACAATACAGAGAAAAGTGATTCATTAAACATTAATTACTATAATCTTGTACAATTTAATTTTCTTATGTATATAAGAAAACTAAAGAAAACTTGAATCAATATATATATTTAATATACAATAACAATTATAATAAGAAATCAAAAATAAAATATCATAGTTCCTCCTCAAGTTTTCAATCACGAAAGCATTTATCATCCTTTACTTTGAATGGGACATGCTCGTAGTAATATACCTTCACCACTTTTTACACAAAACTCTGTTTCACATCTTTTAGCTAATGCGACTATCGAAACACCCTACACGTTGCAATTCAGCTTTCGCAGTTATTAGTAGTCTAATTAAAAATTATAACAATTTAATTATTTTTTATACAGAATATTACAAAATCAAACATATAATATAATATATATATGTAGTTATTTAAACAAAAAAAACACAATGTTTCTTAATATGTTTTCTTTAAGCTTTCATTAAATTAAAACTTATTTCAGGCTAAAAATAAAATTTAGGTTTTATGAATTTATGTTTAACTTTAACTTTGCAAACTTATCAAATTTATCAAACTTCTCAAAACTACTATTTTTTACTCCTTCTTGTCTTGCTTTCATTTCAATCTTTGCTTTTATTTCACTGCCTTATCTTCCCTACTACACTACTTTATCTACATATACATATGCATATATAAAGAAATTTTTAATTCTCATATTGTTTAGATTCAATTTTCTATAAAACAGAATTAATTGAAGACGACTATTGATTTCGTATTTAACTTTAATATAAATTATTTAATAGGGGACTTTAATAGCATAACAGTTCTTCCACCGAAACTTTGTTATAATAGTATGAAGGCTTAGTACTAATTGTAGAATACATACTAAAGTGTTGATTTGATTTATTGATTTGGTTTATTGATTTGTAGTTTTGCCACATGCATTTGCTAACTTTTAAGTGAGCCTTTATTTTCCAATGGTGGTTACCCAAGTGTGGTTGTATGATATATTTTAACGATAATTATAACGATAATTATAATGATAATGATAATTATAACGATAACGATAATTATAACTAACACAAAACGAAAAAGAGTTCTACGCTTCAGTAAGCTGCTGTTATTAAAAAGAAACAAAAAACATTACAATCGGTCCATGTCACATAACTTTTTCATTAAGTAGTGCTATATATTCTCCAATTATAGTCTCCACTTAAGTTTTTGCAATATAAGAAATAGAGATTTTAGAATCACTAAAATTCTCGACTGCGATTTGTGGTCCTTGACTGTGATTGTGGCCACAGGTTAGCAGATTGTCATATGTTCATTTATTCTGATTGTGTATTTCTGATTTGAAAATATCCATAAAAAATAATTAAAAAACTAATAATATTTTCCAATTTATTATTGTAAGAAAGGAAATCGATCGACTGTATATAAGCTTTGTTAGCAAATCACCAAATACTTATATTCTAAAAATAGTTCCAGTTGATGTATATTAATGTTCTATTTTCTTTCCAGGGCAATTTGCTACACTTTATGAATACCATCTCTGTATTTACTGAGATTTCCTTTCACACCCCGTAAGTTCCTATTTTGATTTTTCATCGAATTATATCCAGAGATAAAGCTTATTTTTCGCTTGATGGATATGAAAGAAAACTGTCATATCTGTAGAAGTGCAAAAGTAAAAATTCATAATTGACTGTAGAAATATCGTATGCTGTGGAGATGTGTTAGGACCACACTTTTTTGAAAATTACAAAGGTTTAACTCAAACCATCCACATTTAATTACTACAGCTATGTGACTACCATATGTTTTTTTTAAATGAAACTTGGAATGGATGTGGAAGATATGTGGCTTCATGCGAACTAATAATTTCTGAAGACGTGATTAATAGACGTTTTATTGATAGAAACGGACCACCAAGATTCTGCTATATTTCAATACTAAAACTTTTATATACTTAAAAGCTCAAATTTATTGGAACAAACCCTAAACTGTTGAATCCAACGTTTTGAAATCGAATATCGGTAGGATGGAGTCCTGTAAAATGCTTCATGAAGAATATTTAAATGAGGTATTACATATTTAATAATAAGATATACTATTTTTATTGAAATAAAAATTTGATTTATATTTGAAGCAATTACTTACGATTGCGTTCAAAACTACAATACTTTAATACCTATAACCGTATATAATATGGTGTTTTACAAATTTGTTAATTATATTAATTCTTAAATAATAATAATAAAAGGCATTCTGTTCCAAAAAAATGAACGGATGTCTGCAGATTGATCGATCCAAATGTATGACCGTCTTTGAACAAATTTTCAAACTAATTAGCCAAATGTCTTCGAAGACATTTTGCGTACATGTATTGAAGACTGGATTTAAAAATTATATATTTTTTCTTCAATAGCAAGGTTTTTTACTGCTTAGTACTAAAATATTTTTTTTTGTTTTTTACGACATTTTTCTTCGATTCTTAAATTATAATGTTGTTGTCGTTGTAACCTTCTGGAACTTGCTTGTCAAGTGTTTTCAGGAGGTGTCGAACGGCGAGTGTGGTTTCGGGAGTTGTAGAAAAGTAGAAAATTTAACCGTTGTCATTTCTAATAAAAAAGACTTCATTTTTGTTTAAAATTTTATTAATTTTTCTAATTTGAAATTACATTAAAAGTTTTAATATTTTTTAACCATCTTTTCCGATCTACACAGTCCTGTTTATTCCCTTAGGTGACTTCTAGTCATTTGTTCATGATGCATTCTCTAAAATATATTTTTCACTTAAATTCTTAAGAATTTATATAAATTTTGAAAATAGTTAACAATTGATTTTATAAAAACGTTAAACTTTTAATTAAAAACGGTAAGCATTTACATTCTTAAAGCGTTTATCCTGAGTTTAGTAGGTAGTTTTTGTGTTGTTCATAGTTTGTTTTTTAATTATTATTATATAAGTATGTGTTTGTGCTGGAAATCGCAATAACATAACTATAGGGGTATTCACGATCTCGAGTAATAAGCTTGGTAACTGCGTCAAATAGTAACAACGCAAAGCAGCAACAACAAAACACGATACAAGTGAATATATTTTCTTGTTGCCACTTTGCAATGTTGATATGTTACTCGGTTATCGAGTTCGCTTGTCAAGATTATGAATACCCCTTATAAATTGTTTTCTTTATGTAATCATAAAAGAAATATTTTTTATCCTTTTTTTTGTTTTTGTTATATTTAATAATTAAAATATACTTTGATAACTTTTTATTAATTAATTAAAATGTAACAATTTATTTAAATATATTTGATAACGAAAATAATAATTGATTTTTGACTTAAATCTTTGTATATGTAAATTGACCCTAACAAACGAAATATAAAATAAAATTTATTTAAAAATAATATCAAAAAAAGTGCATTATTATATTTAATTGGCGGCTGGGGTATCTTCTGGAGCAGGCAATTTCTCCCATGTTGGTTCGACGCCCCAAATTTCTCTAGCATATTCGGCAATTGTACGATCCGATGAAAATTTGCCACTGGATGCAATGTTGTTGATCGACATTTCGAGCCATTTGGCTTGATTCTAAAAAAAAAAATGTTCATATAAATACTAAATTTACACCAAATAATTAATTAATATCATGTTAATTACCTGATAGGTCTTAGAGACAAGATCTTGTGCCTTAATGTAAGCCTCGTAGTCAGCCAATAAGTAATAATGATCATATTTAAGCAGAATATCAGCAATATTCTTGAATTCGTTGGGATTACCTGGACTAAAGAAGCCACCTTGAATTTGATCGATGCACTGTTTAATTTCTGGGTTTTTGTTATAGTAATCGTAGGCATTGTATCCTCTCTTCTTTAGTGCTTCAACTTCTTCGACAGTCATGCCGAATATGAAAATGTTGTCATTGCCCATTTCTTCGGCCATTTCAACGTTAGCACCATCCAATGTACCAATAGTAAGTGCACCATTCAACTGGAATTTCATGTTACCGGTGCCAGATGCTTCTGTGCCGGCAGTAGAAATTTGCTCAGATAGATCAGCAGCTGGCATAATTCTTTCGGCCAATGTTACACGGTAATTTTCCAGGAAGATAACTTTCAGTTTGTCACCTACAATTGGGTCGTTGTTGACAACATTACCGACGGCGCATATAAGTTTAATGATTTGTTTAGCTACATAGTAGCCTGGTGCAGCTTTGCCACCAATCATAATAGTACGTGGTGTGAAATCAGCGGTGGGATCTTTCTTGATACGATTGTATAAGGTGATTATGTGAAGGCAGTTAAGTAATTGACGCTTATATTCATGTATACGTTTAACTTGGATATCAAACATAGATGCTGGATTTACTTTAACGCCATAATCTTTTTCCAAAACTTGTGCCAATCTTAATTTATTTTCTTGTTTCACACGAGCAACGTTGCGTTGGAAGTTAGGGTCCTTTGCCCATTTCTTTAAAGCAACTAATTGTTCTAAATGTACTGGCCATTCCTCGCCAATTTTCTCACAGATAAGATCTGATAAACCTGGATTGCAAAGCAATAACCAACGACGGGGTGTAATACCGTTAGTTTTGTTCTGGAACTTATGTGGATCCATTTCGAAGAAGTCATGGAACAAAGCATCCTTAAGAATTTGAGAGTGTATAGCAGCTACACCGTTGACTGCATGGGATCCAACAATTGATAGATGAGCCATATTAATACGTTTTTCGCCATCTTCTTCAACGCAAGACATACGACGCATGCGATCCAAATCACCAGGGAACTTCTTCTTTACATTTTCCATATGTAAGAAATTGATGTGATAAATGATTTGTAAATGACGCGGCAGTATGGACTCCAGCATTGATACGGGCCAGCGTTCCAAAGCTTCTGGTAGGACGGTATGATTGGTGTATGCACATGTGCGTACAGTTATTTCCCAAGCCTTCTCCCAATCCAAATGCTCTTCATCGATAAAGATACGCATCAATTCAGGAATGGCTAATGATGGATGAGTATCGTTCAATTGAATTGCAACCTTCTCGGGGAAGTGATCGAAATGAGTTCGTACTGCCTCACGTGAACCAAATTTGGATGATTTATAGCGACGAATAATGTCTTGAAGTGTAGCAGCAACCATGAAGTACTCTTGTTTTAAACGTAACTCTTTGCCCTCAAAGAAGTTATCATTGGGGTAAAGTACACGAGAAATATTTTCAGCCAAATTACGATCCAAAACAGCTTGAATGTAGTCACCATCGTTGACTATAAGAATTTCAAGAAAAAAGAAAATTAACAAATAATTGGAAAGAATATTATAAAAAACATTAACTTACAGAATTTCAAATTGAAATCAATCGGACTCTTAGCTGACCATAAACGTAAAGTGTTAACGTGATTATTTCCATAACCAGGAATTGGATTATCATAAGGCATGGCGTATACAATTTGAGTATCGACCCATTTTTTGCCTTCAGGTGTATCAATTACACGACCATAAAAGTTAACCGGCAACATAAATTCTGGACGTGCCTTTTCCCATGGATTACCAAAGCGCAACCAATCATCAGGTTCCTCAACTTGTTCACCGTTCTTGATCTTTTGTGCAAAAATACCATATTCATAACGAATGCCGTAACCGTAAGCAGCAAGACCCAAAGTAGCCATAGAGTCCAAGAAGCAAGCAGCTAAACGACCCAGACCACCATTACCTAAACCAGCATCTTCTTCCATTTCTTCGAGATTCTCAATATCCAAACCGAGCTGATACATAGCCTCTTCGCATTCACTTTGAATACCTAAATTAATCATAGTGTTCTGCAAGGAGCGACCCATATAGTACTCCAATGAAAGATAGTACACGCGCTGAAATTAAAAAATAAATTAGTCAGTTAGAGCTATCTTAAAAATATTTTTATATAATATAAGTGCTATACATAATTATTTTATTTTTATATATTTTATAATATCTCTTTTCTAATAATAATAATTTTTGTAACACATTAAGACTTCTATTAAGTCTTGCATATTAGAACCAGCACAAATGATTGGAGGGATTGCAATTAAGAAGCAGAAGCAGATATTTTATGAGTGACAGTACAACATCGAAGTTTTAGTACCGAGTTTTGACACTTCTGAATATTATTCTAATCAAAAAGGCTTTAAATAAATGACATACCTTTAAAGTTTACCATATGATATATGTATACTAGTGCTTCCAATATTCTAAAGAGTTTGATTAAATGTATGTAATACTATGGCGAGCTAAAGATTCGTAAAAATTTCAAACTTCAAGCTGAAAGCTATATGGTGGTATTTAATGTCACTTAAATACTGCCCTAACTACAGCTATACTCTCAATAATGTCGGCCATTTGTTCTCATATCTCAACACACACAATAATTTAAACCATATTGATCTTTTACGCTGACCTATCAAAATGGTAATCTTTCGCCGCTACCACCAGCCTAGTGTCAATTAAAACTAATCCACCTCCCATCCATTCCTTATTCAAAACAATCTCTCTTCTTCTGAGTTGAGTCCTATCTTATTCTAACCCATGTATTCGTATTTTAAAATTCTTTAATTTATTCTGCTAAATAGATACCCTCGAGCTATAACAACAACAACAGATGAAAGCTAAAATGTTTCACTTAAGAATTCTAGTCACTTAAGATTAGTTGATGTTAAGAATAATATATAAATAAAATAAAAAGCTAAATTACAAAAGATCTTACGCTACTTACATTAATCAAAAAGTGTAGTCAACATCTTAAAAGTCTACTTCACTATGGTCACATGACTTGGAGTAACCATAAACCACTTTGATCAGTCCGATTATTTTTCTAGTCTATAATTTTTAGTAGTACCAAAAATGTTTGAGATTTATATCTCTCTTATTAGTAAGAAAGAGATATATAAAATTATTTTCATTGATATAATAAATATATATTGAATACAATTGCTCATATTGTAAATGATTATAATATGCTGTATCAATAGACACTACTTGGAGATATCATAAGAAAAAGAATATAATGTATATTATAGAATAGCTGACTCATTTTTTTTAAAGCACAATATTCGAGTTTTAACCAATTTGGGTGCTATACGTAGGTATTAAGTGTTACTTGGTTAATGTCTGAAGTTCTCTTTTATTATTGAAATTTAATTAGAACTCCATATGTACTACCTTACATGGGGGTCCTTATTTATATTTTAAAGCGGCTAATATTAAAAAAAATCACTAATTCGAAAATGACTATATCGTACTTCAAAAAATTCTCTCTCACAATCTATGCACTTAGACATACATGCAAACCATTTTGTCATAAAATTTTTCCATTTTACTTAAGTCACCTCCAGAACACGGTTTTTAAATGTAGCAACAACTTCTGCCGATAAAACACATTGTCCATGCAGTTTATTTTTAACGTATGGGAACCAAAAGAAATCATCGGGTAATCTAATCGTGAGAGTGCGGCAAGTGACCCATTATTCGATGTTTTATGTGCTCAAAAAGTTTCTTTTGTAACTTTTGATGTGTGGGAGCTTGAATTATTATGGTGAAGAATTATCCGCTTTTGGAGGTAGGGATTCTCCACACACTTCTGATATATAAATGGTGGGATGGATATCATATAAAAATATAAAAATGACCGTACTACGTTGCTCGAAAGGTACTGCACCCTCATGATCATATTTTCTGTGAAAAATGGATGACAGTTTATTTTGACGCATTTCAAGTGAGAACAACATGCATTGGATTTGGTTTCTCATGAAAGACCCATACAGTCATCATGTGACACAATCTTACACACGACTATTATTTCCTTATGCAGTAGTAACCCCAACATTATAATTTTCTTCATTAATATTTCAAAATTTGAAGCCAAATTGTGAGTTTTTTTGTAAATGAATTAAGCATCATTAGACATTTAAATTAGACAATTCGTGACTGTATTCATTTTCGTTCTACAAACTATAGTAGTCATTTGACTGTAATAGATACTCTTCACAGTTGCTCGCTTTAATTCTTCCAGCAGCAGTTTTGGCATTACTTGGCGCCAATGTTTGTGACTGGCTGATCACTTTAAGCTGCTTTCAATAAAAACAACCTTTAAGAAATTCCATGTGCACTTGTTGGAAGCGTGCTCACATCATCGTCATCGGCAGAAGCATTATAATCATCATTATTATCGCCACAATCGATGAAATACTTCAGCTTTTAATGTTTTAAAATTGATAACGAATTTCTAATATAATTTTAATTTTTTTTTAATTTCGTGTTTTTTCTTGTTTTTGCTAAGAAAAGGGGTCAAATTATTGATGTTATTAGTTATTTTTATTGGTCGGCAATGTTTAGATTATATATTGTTTGCTTATCAATTTCGTTGTCAATTAAAATCCCATAAAAAACGTTTTGTAAACAATCAAGGAAAACTTAAATAAACAGAATTATAGCATAGAAACCTACAACTATTTTATGGAGAAATATTGTACAATCAATTTCTTTATATAGATGACCTTACTTTTACAATAATTCGAGAGATTCAAGTTGCCATGAAACAATTTTTTCAATAAAACTTCAACATTTAAGTGGATTGACTGGATTCGACTCATCTCGTTCAACTAATCACAAAGCGTTGGCAATCTTCAATATTAAAAAATTATTCAAAGAATAATAGTTTAACAGTTCAAAAGTTAAAAATAAAAAATTTTATTTTTACATCAAAGGTTTTTTTGCTAAAAATAAAACAAAAATAATATAAATTTCTTATTTTACAATTTTGCATTTCAATTACCATCGCAACAAAATTTTATTCTTTGCATACTAATGAGTTTTGTTGAACGTTCTGAACATTCGAGTAGATAGATAGATACGAAGAATAAAAAGGTTAAAAGGATAAAAAATCCAATTATTTCAAGATATTTAATCCTTAATTCATTAAACTTAAATCACCCTTTCTGCACACACCATAAAGGATACGAATCTATTTTGCGAAATAATAAAGGAATTATGGAAAAAAAACCTCATTAATATAAGTATCTTTTAAACTCAATTACTGCGTAAAAACATAGATATAAGATATACTACTTTTGAGAAATTAAAATTAAAAAAAAAACCAATGATGTTAGTTTTGGTTGCGCTGAAGCGAAGATACCCCTTCCACCAAACTTTGAATCTATATTGAAGTCTCAAGTATATTTAGTCCTAAGTATATTTACTAGTAATACTAATACAAAAAAAATTTGTATTATTAAATATATAATATAACATATAAAAACATATAATAGAATTTTTTTTATTTTATTATAATTAATTACAAAATATAAAATCTCATAACTAAGATAGTAAGAACGAGCGCTAGCTACCAGGACCTTCAGCTCGATAATAGAATATGTAAAACCAAATATATTTTTGAATATACAATAATTAAAAAAATAAATTAGAATATATAATAACATCTATTAAATACAATATAATAATATTATATATGTAGGATAAATCTGAAGAACTATATACTATATCCTTCTATATTCAAATCTGAACCGATCGATATAATTTTTATGACAAATATTTGGAAAAATTTAATAGATTTTTTAAGAAAAAAAAAACACATGCTAACTATAAACACAGATTGATTGCATTACACAAATTAAGTTTAAGTTCCCAATATAAAATGCATATATCAGAAAATGAAACAGTGTTTCTAACAAAAACATATATCTGAACCGACAGGTATCTACATAGTAACTTTATCTTAATCTGAACTGATGTAAATGTTTGACATTGCATTATATGAATATAAGTACATTTTATACATTATACTTTTATTTAAATATTTTAACGCGATCACACCCAATTGATCGGTTTATATGACAACTATAGGATATAATCAGATTTCGACCTATCAGACAAATAATCAAGACTCATTCCTGACATAAATATGTTCAAAGTTTCATTCGAATAGCTTAACAAGTGAGGGACTAGAATGAAGTGAAAAAAAAAGACGAACAGGGATAAATAAACTCAATTCGTCGAACTGATCAAGAATATATACACTTTAAGGAGTTTCCTTCAATATGTTACAAAAGCCTTAACAAAACTAATATGCCATTTTACTTTTTTTAAAAAAATGGATATAATTAATAAAGAATAACTTACACATTTAAGAGAAAATGTCTTTAAGGAACTAATTCAATGCAGAAATGAAGATATATAAATTAAGGGAAACGTTAAAGAATTCTTTATGGGATTTAATTTTTTAAAAAGTTGATTAATATTTCAATATAAAATATTAAACAAATTAATAGGTTATTATATATATAATATAGGACAATAAAAATATAATATAAAAATAAAAAAAATTTTTTTAAGATTATAGAAGTATATATAATACAACCGTTTACATAAAAACTAAGGAACAGTTTGCCACCAAATATTTTTACAAATAGATTTTTAAAACTTCTTCTTTCAGTTACACGACAATAAAATTATCATAAGATATAGATTCGACCTGACAATAATTTAATCGTTGAAAGTTAATGACTATAGTTCTTTTCTAAAACATTTTTTCCTTAGGAAATATTGATAATCATTCCCATTCACAAAATCAACAAAAAATTTACTACAGACAATTCTTTCAAGACAGATCTTGTAAATCGGGTTATAACTTATGAAAAAAAATGTCTCACCATTTATACAGCCTACTGAAAGATAAGTAACGAGATAGGCAGTAGAAAGTTTCTTTAAACTATTGAATATCTTTAAAGATTATAGGTTTTCTAAGCACTACAGTTTCTTTCTGGCAGAATCATTGTTATTAGAGAAGCTATAGTTCAACTTAAAGTCGGTTTTTTTT